GTTTATGTAGTTGCATAATGCAATGTGAGTGGCCCTGCTGTGTATAATCGGGTCATGTCAGGTGTAGGTATCTCTTTCTTGGTGGTGTTGGATTATGCGTGATAAGGTAGTCGAATGGCTATGTGTCCCTGTAGGCTGTGTGTGTATTGTGGTGTATGTCCAACGTCAGGTGGGGTCGTGGGTGACGTTGTCAGAAACGTCGGTTGCGGGCCCTAGTGTCCCTAGTGGTATGTGGGTATGTGTGCGTGTCCCACTCATATGGTCCATATTCACCAGGGAGCTCAGTTCATATTTTTATGTCTGGGTGTCTGTGTGGGTCCCATTTTGGGTGTGCTCATGTGGGCAAGGTTCTGGGACAAGGAAAGAAGGAAGGGGAGGAAAATGGGAAGGAGCGGAGGAGAGATGGGTATGGGGGGGATAGAAGAGGGGGTAGCATTAAGGCGGGTGGACACCTCTGCCGTCTGGTCGATCTTTATCCCCAGTCTCCGCCCCGGTTCGTCATGCCACGACGGCACTACAGGTGGTCAATTCTCACAAGTCTTCTGCCTGCTCCTCCCTACGTTGGGTGCATTCAGGAGTGACACTAAGTCATCTGAGGTGACATATCTCAGCCAGTAGAACCATCTCTTCGTGTATTTTTGCTTTTGCCTTCACTGTGGTTGCCTTCAGGTCTTCAAATTTCCAGGTGTCCTCCACCTCCTCCATCCATCGTCTGAGTGGGGGGATGCTTGGTTGCTTCCAGAAGATGGGGACTGTTGTTTTTGCTGCGTTGAGAAGCCTTGGTATCACTGATCGTTTATATGCCGGCGTGGGTATCGTTGTGTGGTGTAGCAAGAAGGGAGCTGCTGTCATTAGGAGGCTTTTGTCTGCAATTTCGTTGATCACTCGCCCTACTGTTTCCCAAAAAGGTCTAATGAGGGTGCAGTCCCACCAGAGGTGTAGCAACGTCCCGGTCTCCCCTCCGGATCTACCCTCCGGATCTCCAGCACGTGTCCAGTTTCGAGCTGTCTCTGGCGTGGAGGTCCACAGGGATGACGTACCAAGAGTTTAAATGAGTTTTCCTGGAGCCTCGCTGAACCGGGTGGGTGAGTGTAATGATTTTATCCCAGTCCGCATCCATGAGTGTTTCCTCAAGGTCCTCTTCCCATCTCCGGATACATGGCGGTGCCAGAAGGTACCCTCTGGTTGCCAGCAAGGTGTATATTTGGGATATCGCTCTCGAGGGTGGTGTGTCTGACAGGCACAGAGATTCGAACTCCATACATTCCCATATAAGGCTCGGTTGTTGGGGGATCGAGCGTGTATAGTGTCATATTTGTTCTCTCGCTATAGTGTGTAGGAAGGTGTGCCTTTGGTCCAGGAAAAGGGCAGCCATTGGTCGTGTTTTGCCTGTGGGCATGAGCACGTCCACTATTCGGGGCATCACGGTATTGGGCCCTGGTCGCAGGGTTGGACCCATGTCTCCAGCCGGGAAATCTGGGTTACCCCTGAAAGGGAGTAGAGGGCCCGGGTCGGTCGTGAGATAGAATTTGGGCCGTTTTGGGGTGGCCTTCATGAATGGATTCTTGTGTTGTGCGCACCTGCTTGCTTCCCGTGTGAGCCAGGGTAGGGCTCTAAGGTCGCAGTCGGGGCTATCCCTTCCAGTTGGACCCAGGGTTTTCCTCGTGATGTGGTCGACCAACTAATGACCCGAGTGAGGTGGGCTACTTCTTGAAATCGAGGAGGGCTAGGCCCCCTTTGAGTTTAGGGAGAGTCAGTTGAGAGTGAGCTATTCAGGGGAGTATATGAAGTGTCGGACTGCCACTTGGATGGATGTAAAAAAGCTCTTCGGTACCGCGACCGGTATGGTTTGGAAAACGAATAGGAATTTGGGGAGTAGGGTCATCTTCACCACATTGATGCGGCCTGTCCAGGATATGTAGTAAGCGTTCCAGGTCTGAAGTTCCGCCTGCGCAGTCTTGAGAAGTGGTAGGAAATTGTGAGTGTACAGGTCACCCCTAGGTATCACATCTTGGCGGTGCACCAACGGAAGGGAAAGCAGCGCCTGAGTGTCTGTGCTTGGGTGTGTCCAACGTTGAGGTTTAATATTTCCAATTTGGTATAATTGATGCGTAGGTTGGAGACGTTGCCGTATGTCTCGAATTCTGTCATGATCGTTTGCAGTGTCGTGGCCGGGTGTTGTACGATGAAGAGGAGGTCATCTGCATAGGCCAGGACTTTGTGGTGTGAGCGGCCTATACTGAGTCCACGAATCGCCTCGTTGCCTCGTATGTTATTAAGGAATGGCTCTAGGTTTAGTGCAAAGAGCAGAGGGGACAGGGGGCAGCCTTGGCGCGTTCCATTGCATATTCGGAACGGGTCAGTGAGGGCCCCATTGATGCGGAGTCGCGCTGTCGGGTCAATGTAGAGCATCTCAACCCATTGTATGTATTTGGGGCCGATGCCCAGGCTCCGGAGGGTTTCGAAGAGGAATACCCAGTCGACCCTATTGAAGGCCTTTTCGGCATCCGTGGAAAGGATTAGGGTCTGCTGATTGGATTGTGAAGCTATGGAGACCAGGTTCAGTGCCCGTATGGTGTTACCCCTAACCTCTCTCCCGGGAATGAACCCCGTCTTATCTGGGTTGACCAGGTCCGGGAGTAATGGTGCCAAGCGGCTGGCTAACACGCTGGCCAGGAGCTTGACTTCCATGTCCAGAACCGATATCAGGTTGCATAAGTCGGGTCGTTACCCTCTTTCGGGAGGAGGGTGATGTTTGCTGCTGTGAACAGGGTTAAGGGGGTCACTCCATCCAAGATCGAGTTCAGAACTGAGTGTAGTTTCAGTAGGAGGTCAGGTAGGAAGGTTTTATAATATAGTAGTGGCAGTCCGTCTGGCCCTGGTGCTTTCCCCGTCTTAACCTTTCTGATTGCGCATGTCAGTTCTTCCATGGTGATGGGGGCCTCTAGTTCGTCCCGGTCTGGGGTGGCTATTTGTTTTAATCCTGCTGCATCCAGGTATGTGCAGATGGCCTCACCTCTGCGGTGTGTCTAGGCGGCCTGTGTGTCTTGTTGCAAATTGTAGAGGTCCTCGTAATATCAGGTGAACGCGGCCGAGATCTGGTCTTGTAGGTAGCACATTTGCCCAGCAGCGTTTTGAATCTTGGATATATATAGGTGGTTCCTGCACTTTTTAGTAGGGTTGCCAAGAGTCTGCTGCACTTGTTTCCATGTTCATACACCAGGTGTTGGAATTGTTGGAAGGAGTGTTGGATTGTTCGGTTCAGGTGTTCATGAGTTGGGTGCTCTTGAGAAGAAGGTAACGATAAGTCGCGAGGTCCAGTGTTCGCTTATGACGAAATTCTAGTCCTGCTATTTCCTTGTTGAGGTCTGTTACCGTCTGGTTGTATGCCTTTTTCCGCGCCGAACAGTGCGCAATAAAGTGTCCCCGAAGTACTGCTTTATGTGCCTCCCCGCACAGCAGGGGCGTCGTGTTTTCTGTTTCGTTAACAAGGAAATAGTCCTGGATAGTTTGTTTAGTCGCGACAACCAGGGCTGGGTCTGCAAGGCCACGTCATGGGCAAAAATTCCGACTCCACAAAGAGAGGCAGGCGGTGATACGGTAGGAGGAAGTAATCCAGCCTGGTGTAGGTGGCGTGGGTTGTGGAATAGAATGTGTAGTCCCTCGCGGTGGGGTTTAGCGATCTCCAGCTGTATCATCCGTGTGTGTCTATTGGGTGCCTGCTGAGCAGGGTTTGCTGAGTAATCCAGCCTGGTGGTGTAGCGGTAGATTGAGATCCCCGCCTATGATCAGGGTGCCCTCTGCGAATCCCATCAAGGTGGCCAACGCCGATTGGAGGAATCTGAATTGGTTGGTATTTGGTGCGTACAAATTCGCGAAGGTGTACGTCTGGTCTTGGATGGTCCCCTTCGTAAAGATGTATCTGCCGTGGGGGCATCTAACACGAATGGGATCCCCCTGGAAAACAGGGTGCCCACGCCAGGTGTGCGACACAGTGGGTTGTTGCTGAAGAGTCCTAGTGGATAGCTGCGGTCTCGCAAGGACTGTGTTCGGTTCTCCTGAAAGTGTGTCTCTTGTATGAAGGCCACCGATGCGTGGTATCGTTACAGGTCTCGTAGGAGTCGGGAGCGCTTCTCTTGAATGTTGAGGCCTTGGACATTATACGAGAGGATGTTCAGGTCCTCCCTAATGTATTGAGCGCCTACTCACTCGGGGTACTCGGGTATCCCCCGTTTGCCTCTGGCTGATGGGGAGGGGATGTCCCAGTCAGTCCTGAGTTGCACCGGGGGTTAGCCGTCTGTCCAGCCGTCTATGACGGAGAATGGTGTCTGCCGGGTAATGAGAAAGTGTGGCTCCTGTAGGACCTACTTCCCCTATGTGCGTGGGTCATGGGGCAGGTCGCGGTTTGCCCCGTCCATGTGTGGGCAGCTTCTGGGGTTACAAGTCCTCAGTCGTCCCTCGTTCTGATCTCAGATTGTGGGCCCTGTGTGTCGTGAGGCGCTGGTGCGTGTGTTAGTATTCTGTGGGCTGTGTTGGGGTTGAGTGCTCTCTGCTTTGTGGGTGTTGTGGGTGCCCCCCTATGAATAGGTGGGCTAGCGGCCTGGGACAAGGGTGGTTGTGTTCTTGCGTTGTGATGATGCTGCATGTGGGTGGGACCTTGGCATCACTGGTTACTTCCGGAGCAGATGCCTGTACATTAAACCCTTACAGGCGATTGCTGCCATTCCCATTCCTCCCCTTTGTCATTCTTCCACTGTATGTTTGACCTGAGTTTCCTTATCACCATACGGTGTCTACAGTGTCGTGCCTCCCAGTTTGTTACACCCTGAGCCATTGCAATTGTCTAGCAGCTCACCCCCCTTTGAGGCGTCCTCCCCGCCCCTTCCCCCCTGCTTCGCATTCTTTATTGTCCCCTTTGGTTATCATGTGCATTGTACCTCCCCTCGTGTCTCTTCCCTCCCTTTCCTCCCTCCCGTTGTCTTTTAGCGGTTTGTCCCCTCTCAGCATGCCCTGGTGTTGTTGCTACAGCATTTATTCCTCTGGTCTCGCCGGGTATTGGTGCCATGGACAGTTGCGTTGGGGCCTGTCTCTGCCCTGGTCCCTGCCCAGTGGTGGAGGTGGTGGGCCTGTCGCTTGTTGCAGGAATTGAGGAGCCAGCCAGTTCGGCACCTGGGCTTGCGGAAGCCATAGGGAGCGCTGGAGCCCAGGGACGTCCGCAGGAGTCCATATGACGCGGAGGTCCGGTCCTCTGCGGGCGCATAGGGAAAAAGGGTACCCCATCTATATGGGATACCTGCCGCTTGGAGTGCAGTGGTGAGTGGTCTAAGGGCCTTCCTTGCCTGCAGGGTGTAGCGGGAGAGGTCTTGGTATATGGATATTTGCTGATTATCGATGCGTATTGTACCCATGCGGCGTGCGCTGCGTAGTATATCTTGCTTCAGGGCGAAATTGTCTAGACAGCAGACAATATCACGTGGCTGTTCGCCGGGTGCAGGTGGTGCATGGTAGGCCCTGACCAGGCCCAGTCTATGAATTTGTTAGCCTCCCAGGGCATGGCTAAAGGTTGTGCGCAGGATCTCAGGTATGTTCTCCACTGAGCCCCCTTCTCTCATCCCCTCACACGGAGGTTGAGCCTGCGGTCCCTATTGTCAAGGTCATTTACCCAGGTTGTTAAGTGGGCCTGGCTGGCTTCATACCCCTTTATTGTGTTGCGGATTATTTCAGTGTCTGACCTTAGTGCTCTGGTGTCTGCCTCGGTCACTGTTAGACGTGCATCCATGCCGGCCACCAATGTTCATTTTGGCAGCAAATTATAATTTAGTTTTAGTCATAGCCTTTTGACTAAAAAGCCATTTTAGTCATATTTTAGTCATCTGAATTGTTTTAGTTTTAGTCTAATTTTAGTTGACTACATCTCAACAAATGTAGTCGACTAAAATAGTAAGTCGACAAAATTAACAGGGGTCACCATCATGCGTGAGAGTACAATACTAGGTCTAAGGAGATTTCCATGAGAGAATACATAGAAAACGTCTCGCAAGGTGCTAGTATAAAAGCAAAAAAAAACAACAATTTTTATTATATATTGTGTGAGAGAAAATGTGGAATGATTGTTGAGGGAAGATATATTAGGCCTGCTTTACTAAACAGCAGCCTAAGGTTTCTCAGTTAAATGCCCCAGGGCAAGATGTTAGGTTTGCAAGATACACTAGAAAAGCTACAATTTCTGGGGAAATTGTGTGAAGTGTTCTTGCCTCCACCAGTAGTCTACAACTGGAGTGGGCGGAGTAACTGTTATCATTTATATAGCACATTTAATCGCAACGTTGTTGCACAGTTAAATTAAACCATACATTTATAAAAACATTAGCAGGTGTTCAAAAGGCCCTGTCTATGACATCACTTGCTGCTGCAGCCTGGCACAGGTCAGAGTATTTTGGCGGTTGCCATCTTCAAACGGTCGTATTTTAAAAACTATAAATCTTACAGCGAAGAGCTTTATATTGTGAGAATCACAAGACCCAGACCTATATTTTGATGCATAGTATGTCTCTGAAGTATTAAAATTGAAGGCACAGTCGCAGTTTAGAAATTGCACTTCAAATTTGAGCTTTGCAGAGTGAAGTTTCAATGAATGTCAATGGACGGCGTTAGTTGCAAACAAATGATTATATTGTGAAAACTATCAGGACTATGGCTTAGCCGTTGACATGTTTAGTGGCAGCAGGGATAGCTGAACGTTTTGATATAAGATTTGTGTAGGTGGGCCTGAAAATAAGGGAGTGGTGGCAGTTTAGAAATCATGTCCTGATTTTTCAGCTTTTGCCAGCTCCCACTCTAGCTTTGCCATTCATTCCTATGGGACAAATTTCGCCACAAGAACGACGATATTCCGTGAACCATTCGGCGAAACATTCCACAAAGTAATAGCAATCCGATCGGGAACAATCTGCACGTTTTGGTAAATTTTTGTCTATGTAGTGTAAAAACTGTGGGAGGAGTTAGGGTGGCAAATTTTGCTATAATAATAATAATATATGAGAAAACATTAAGTGTGTCTTGCTATGCAAGAACACTTAATTAGTGGTACTCTGCAAACCACGGTAAGGGCCCTGGGGCAGAGCATTTGGAGAGCAGGGTGGGCCAGTGCTCCAATAGCACTAGTTGGTATATAAAAGCCAGACCAGGACTTGTATATACCTTAGGAGTTCCAGAGATGTGAACTAATTGATACTCACCTGTAGCTGGTCAATTAGCAAGCAGGCTTTTAAAAGAAGGGATCAGCCTGCTGCAGAGTGATGGAAAAAGAGCCAGAGGAAAGGTGTGTCTTGCATGTATAATTTTGTTATTGTAAATTGGTAAGTGGGAAAGCCACCCAATTCCAGATAGCGATTACTGTGTTTAGTAAGTGCTCAAACAAGAGTAAAGAGTTTTGTTTTGTTTATTTTGAAGTACCTGTATATTTTGCACCAAATAAATCAGGAAATTGACCTGGATGTGTCCTGGACTTTGATTACCTTAGAAGGCTGTGGTTTACCGTAAGATCTGTGACAAAATCCTGCCTGTAAAAGAGGTGGTTTGTTACAACTGTGATAGAAGAGTGATAAATATTTAAAAATAGGCAAATACCTTGTCTGTTAGTATTTGTAAGGGCCCTGGAAGTATAGTATCAGAGCTTAAAGGACCACTCTAGGCACCCAGACCACTTCAGCTTAATGAAGTGGTCTGGGTGCCAGGTCCATTTAGGATTAACCCTGCCTGCTGTAAACATAGTTTCAGAGAAACTGCCTCCATGCCGGAGATCATCAATCTTGATGATCTCAATCAATCCAATTCTTTCCCATAGGGAGGCTATTGCACATGCAAAGGAATCAATGCATCTCAATGGGGAAAGTTCAGAGTCTTCATGCACAGCATGGAGATGCTTAATGTTAGTGCTGCACACTGTGCAGCACTAGACTAGGAAGCACCTCTAATGGCCATCTGAGTGACTGCCACTAGAGGTGCTCCTTGGCAGCAATGTAAACACTGCCTTTACTCTGAAAAGGCAGCTTTTCCAGTGCTCAGCCTGCAGGGACAGGCTATAGACACCAGAACCACTACTATAGTGTCCCTTTAAAGAAAAAGTGCAATAAATTAGAATGAAAAACATTACAGTGAAACAAACATATGACAAAAATGTAAAAAAGGCATCAGTTACCATTCATGGAATCTTGGAAGATTATTACAAAGCCCTTCGGCATTCCAGTTGTTGTGGACTACAAAAGTTAACCATGATTCCTATAGAGCAGATTAGCTTAAAATAAATTGTCCACAGAACATGTTATGTTGAGAAAAAAAAAGAGGCTAAAATACTACCAGCGCTTTAGGAATTGTGATCATTTATTTTTGTATTCACAGTAACAATTCCCTTATGAATGTGTTTGGTTTGGAATATATTTTTCCAATTTGGTTATGTTTAACATTCTTATCTTCTTCGTCCACAGTGTATACCTATCTGAAGTCTTTTCAAGATCATCAACAACTGGACACAAAGATTACATTTTATTAGAAAAATATATAACAAAGAAAATAGTTATATGTGAACTGATATAGTGGTTAAGAAATAAAACACATTTAATACTGTATCTAAATAGAAATATATTTTTTATCATAGTTTTGAATCTTTCTGTGCTTCGTGTTCAATACAAGATTTGAATAGGTCAACCAACAATTAATTATTACATACTTTTCCCCAATAAACAATTATAATTTAAAGCCCACGATTCCCAACAACTAAACCTGAAAGTGCATTTGTTGATGCACTTGGCCAATCTTACAGTCACGGTGGACTTTTTATCTCTGACAAAATGAATCCACTTTTATTTACAGTCACATATACATGTATTTAGTTATCCATGCCATAAACCCATGCTGAAAGCAGCTGGAACATCAAAAAGGTTTAATTATATTTATTATTCTAGTCATTAAGCAGTTCTTGGTCCCCATTTATTCACCACTGTGACCTGTATGGAAGTTTACTATGCACATGTTCCTTATCCCAAACAGATACTACTGATTATTGAAATCAGGATATTGATAGACAAGTTCAGACCATTTTAATGAAAAGGCTTTTTCATTCTTCAAACGGATGTAATTTGTGGTCATGTAACAGAGAGCATTTCAGGCCTTCTAACCCAAAAGCCCACGCCAAAAACAGGAGGAAAAAATCCCAGACATGATTAATGCAAAGAACGATTAATTTGAAAATTGATGTTGGCTGAAACTTTATTTGGTCTGACCTGGCCACGGGGCAAAATAACACAGGTCTAGTATTCAGGCCTGTGATCTGAAATCACCGATATCCAGACCAGGGCCCAGGTCACCAAGGGACAACAAGGCTTTATGTTAATCGTATTAGTGCCAGCAACACATTGAGATGTAGTGCATGCCAACTTGGAAAGCAGTTACAAATAGGAAGAAGTAAACTGTAACCCCTGAAGCATTAAAGTAATTAGCCATGAATTTGTATGTAGGAGTTCTACTGAGATACATGCAATGGCATTTTTAGTAATGAACATTTCTTCTGAGAAATAACTTTTTAGATTGACGGTGCGTCTGTTTTTTTTCACTACCATTGCACATCAATCTCTTAGCATTAAGAAAGTTAAGGGGGGGAAATAAGAAGACAAAAAAAGATGTCACATGCTTCCTTTTATTCCTCGTCTTAGAATTTGAGTATTGCTTAGGTTCGAGTCTTCATTTTCTTAATGACCCTATAAGAATCTTGAATAAAAAGGAACGGAGCTTCAAGGTAATGCTTCACACCACAAAGCTCCTATGTGAATGTGGTCAGTACAAAGTGCAAGAGTTTATAAACTGGCAGAATGAGTTTCAACTTGTACAAGTCTAAGTGTAGACATATCGTAGAGTAGGCGGTGCATAGTTCTTTCACAGGCACACATTTAAGGCTTTTGGTGTGGTCCCAGTAGTTGAAGATGTCAAGATGTCCAACCCAACAGTCTTTTCCAATGCTGAGAAAAGGCTTTGGAGTTGCTTAACCCAATGAGAAGCAGTATAAACAAGTATAGCGCCATCATAATAGCAAACCGGTGTGTTGAAAACCAGGATGGCTCCTTGGATCTATTAATGACAGAAACAAGAATATGAAAACAGTTAGACACGAGACAATTACCATATGATTCATCACCAGTGCCCTCATCTTCACTTTCACATGCCCAGCAGTAATCCATGGACTACTAGGCCTAGCAGATGGGTAATTTTTTGCGGTGTCAGTGGTATACACACTATGACAATCTAATATAAACCCAGAACACAAAACAAAACAAAAAATAAATCTCTGCATAAATATTACAAAAGATACAACAGCAAGCATGTAGAACAGAGGTTCTCCAGCTGTTGCAAGAGTGTGTGTACCTCAATGCCTCATAGAAATTGTAGCCCAATAACACGTGGAGGAACCAGTGTGGATATCCCTGGTTTAGTGCTTTAATTATTTCCACGTGTTTCCACTCATTGATGCAGTCGGCATAATATACAGTTGTTTTTTCATCATCATTTCACAAAAATTACCTGCATATTTGTGTATATTAGTGGGAATATAAATGTATAGTTAATCCCATGCTCATGATGTATGTTTATTAGAACGTGATTTGTTTCTTATAATCTTCGATGCACCAGAACAATTGACTTGTATACAACACCCTGCCAATAAGCTCAATCCAGGATAGAGTATTAGGCAGAAGGAGATTGCTCATCTCAGCAGGGAAGCCAAAGGGAGACTGACACGGGGGAAAGGTGAGTAAAATATAAATATATATATTTTCTTAATTCATTCTGGGGGTGGGGGCAGAACTAAATAGTTGTACACTAAAACTTGTACACACGAGTATTCCTTGAAATATTTAAGTATTAGTTTATCTATATAAGTGTTAGGGGTTTAGCTAGCACCCTGTAAATATATGATTAGGATCATACTGAAACTGCACTCTCATATTTGGTAGATTCTTTAAATTGTACTGTAATCAGCATATTAGAATTATTTGGAAAATATAGGCAGCCCTGCAATTTCTACCCACCTTCTCTTCGGCTGTTTTTGAGAATACACCAAAAGGTATTTTACTCGCAACAACTGGTTATTTGTCACAACAAAGTATTTCTGTGGAACATCTCCCCCTTCACTGTTACGCGCCCTTGCTCGCTTCCGGTCGATTTCACATGAATCTGAAAAATATATACCAGAAAGAGATATATTTAGAAATGAAGGCCGTTCTAGTTTAAAAAAAATAAAAAATAAAATAGATAGAATATATATATCTCTATCTCTATCTCTATCTGCATGCTACAGACACACAAACGTGTAACAGCCTAGCTGTAACAGCCAAGGAAGTTGGATAAACACACAAAAAAAGTTTTCTTTTTTTAGAGAGCCGTAGTGGTTATGATACATAGAGTGTTCCTTAGATGCTCCCTACCAACACTACTACTAGGTATGATAAACTCACTAGAGCTGTTTTGAGATTATAGCTTATAGCGTATGTATGTGGACTCCTGTGAGATTATATATATTGCCAAAATACCATAGTATTGCAGTATGCAATGATACCTTTTTACTGGACTAACATAATATTTCAAAGACAAGCTTTTGAGAGTTGAGGAAGAGAGGAAACTCTTATGTTGGTTCAATAGAGAAAAAAAAACAAGCAAACAGTGCAGAAGATGGTGCTAGAAGGGTAGAGTAAAAACAATATATATATTTATTTTGATTTTAATCTCCCCTTCTAGCACCATCTTCTGCACTGTTTGCTTGTTTTTTTCCCTCTCTCTCTGATCTTCACACAAGATATATACAACCCTCTGCGAGAATGGGGTCAATTTTCTATCAAATGTGTCATCTTGCTCAGAAATGCTTTAGACTTGAGAAAGGGAGGTTCTCCCGAAAGCTTGTCATTAAAAAAAATTCTGTTAGTCCAATAAAAAAAATAAAAAATTAAAAAAAATTTAAAAAAAAAGGTATTACAAGATACAAGATCACCTTAAAAATAAAGTGAATGGACTCCTGGAGCTGGCTAGTGACTGATGGCCAAATGTGTGTGGGGAGGGAGAGGGAGAGGGAGAGGGAGATTATTTTTTCTAGTTGTGCATAGTTATTTTATGAAACTGAAATTCAAAGGCTTAAGGGACACTGCAGGCACCCAGACCACCTCAGCTCAAGTGGTCTGGGTGCTGAGTCCCTTTTGCACCTATTGCTGCCATGTAAAACAGTGCAGTTACAGAGAACTGCAACATTGACATTGCAGCTCTAAGTCTGCCCTCAGTGGCTGTCTACCAGACAGCCGCTACAGGGCTTCCGGAATCTAAACGGACCTCTGGTCCGTTATTGGACGCTGGGCATCCTCACGCTTTGCATAAAGGACCTCCAGCATCAGATTTTTTCCCCATAGGAAAAAATTGATTAATGCAGTGCAGTGTTTTGCTATGAAGCACTGCACATAAAGCGTTTAACCCCTCTTCTGCTGGTGGTGTAACCACCTCTGGCAGCATCATTGGGGCTTAATTAGCCAGCCCAAAACAGGAATCCTGGGTGGCTATTGTCAATTCTGTGTATATTGGACATCTGAAGCCAGTACACATAGTGACAGCCTGATGGCAATAGGCAACCAACGGCTGTAGAGGAGGATCGTACTGAATTTGAGAAATTGGTCTCAGCTTTGGTATGGAGGCGAATTCTTGCTGTATTTTTGTATTTATTTTTAAGAGGAGTTGAAGGACACTGACCTGCACATCAAGGGTTCCCCCAATCAAAAAAAGTGTTTTATTAAAACACTATTTGGTTGGCATAACAATTTAAGTAAATAGTATTACTATACTGGATGTAGTAATGGTAATTATTATAGCATCCAGTTAAAAAAAAAATCAAAAAAAAAAAAAATCAAAAAAAAAAATCTATTTTTTTTCTCAGTTAAGCAATTAGTATGTTAGTGCTCCCCCTGGTCAGACTAACTCACCTTTCTTCTTTGCCTGACACTTTACATCAGGGTGATCTATCATTTCACACACTGCTACACAGCTCAGCACTGGTCCTAAAATGCTATGACACCATCCATGACCATGAGGGCTATACAGAAGGGCCAGGCTCAGGTCACTAGTCAAGTATGTGCCTTCTCCAAACAAGGAAGTCTGAAAGAGGAGATCAGAGAGTTATTACTAGCGCAATACAGACCTTTTATAAAAGTCAGGGAATTATTCAGAGTAGCTATAAAACATGTATCTTCTTACTTCTTTATAACAATCATAATTTATACAGAAACTAGCAATATTGAATGGATTGTCTTTAAATTATAAATATTTGACTTGTCTTTCAGGAGAATTTATCAGCAGTTTTAAACTTTTATAGCTATAAAAAAGCACTAACGGTCCACAAAGCCATAAACATCTAATACAGCATCACCTACACACACACACACACACACACTATTTCTATATTGTATAAATATGTAGACACACACACACACTAAATACAGGGCTTGAAATTTTAAGTCCTACACTACTACACTACTAGCCAGTAGACTTGAATTCAGCAGTTACTAAACAACCTGTCCAGAATTTACCTGTGGGGTCAAACTGCTTCAAACAAATTTGTGCACGAGTCTACTAGCCAGGGCTTGAAAGACCACTGCAAGGCTAGAGAGACCATGACGCACTTAATTAGCTTGGTTTCTATGATGAACTAAAATGCTACAGAGAACACAAAATGCATGGCTTCAGTGATTCCCAGGTAGGGAGGCGAGAGGTTTGGTTTACACTTCTTTTTCATACATTTACAATCAAATGCAAGTTACACACACGTACTTTAGTTTACTAAATTGTTTACACCGGTAGCAAGAATGTTCATATACACACACAGAAAGATCACGCAAAGTGTCAAACCTTGTTAAGGTGGCAGTGCAAGCCATTGTGGAGTATGGAATGGAAATTCTCCAGCCGACTGCCATGCAAAGCGTACATCAGGTCCCTCTCGCCACGTATCTCCTGGAACTTGGCGTTCAGCTTCTCGCAGTATTCTATTTCAAACAGGAAGTCAGGGGTGGGCAGAGCAAGACTGGGAGAGCCTAGCAGGGCTCCGATTTCCTCATACTAAAACAGCAAGTGAGGGGCAGCCTTAACTCAAGGCTGGTATTATAGGACCATAATGGTTAGTACATACATGATTTACGCTGCTGGTTAATTCATACAGACTAGATCACATTTTAAGAATCTATAACAGTTTTGTAATTGTGATACCATTGTATAAAGATGCCTTGAACCTCTCATAAGCATTTTCATAAATTTATATTAAAGCTTTATATAGTTAGCATTAATTGGCAAGTTATTACTGGAGACCAAAGACTAGACAGAGTAAGTAGCCAAGCTACTGAATTCTGGGTTAGCTAACCAGTAGATCTGTTCCCTAGAGTGAATGCTAAGGACGGTGTTAGGGGAAAAGAGATTGGTTTGCCTTTATTTTTACAGGTTGTTTTTTTTATTTTACATTCTTTGCCTACCCCTTCTCCTAGTATTATTAGTGTGAGTGGGGTAAAAAGGGTCATATTTTGTGGTGGAGCTTGGGGAACCTTGAGTTTTCATTCTTTTTTATGGAGAAGCCAGGTCAGTTTATTACACACTGCAGCACTGAAAGGTCTCATTTTATTGGCGTAGCTCACCTACTAAAACATTACGCCTGGTCTCACTAGGCATAGCATTTCCACCAATAAAAGAGCTTTTTTTGAGCCTGTGAAACCACAACATCATTTGGCTAATAATGCCAAGTAGTGTAGCAATTCCCATGGTTTCCTGTAAATAACTTAAGCCAGAACCCTTTAACTAATTGGATTTGCAGCAAAGTTACACCAGTAAGTTAATACTAATTTGGGTGTAACTTTGCTGCAACGCCAAAATAAATATGTCTGTCAAGCTCTAGTAAATTGAGCTGTATGTTTCTATATCAATTAAAAAAAATATTGGATGGATGTATTTTTTTAAGACATGCACAGAAAATAACTAGGTAGAACAGAAGTATTAAAACACTTTCCCAAAAGAGGTAATTTATTCATCTGAATGACCTCTTCATAGTAGGATTTTTATAACAGGCTCAGACAAATTAAAAAAGGATTAGATGATCATTAGTCAGAAGGCAATGGCTTAAGTGAGATCCAAGGATTTCAAGGCAGGGAAAAAAATTAAATTGCATCAGTTAAGTTGTTCTTGTTTGCCATTAAATCCATTGGAAAACTGTGAAAAACAGCAGCTGTGTGGGTTAGTTAGTAAGTTGGATTTTGAAGTTTAACCCCTTCACTGCTAAAAACCATGTATACACAAGAGTAAAAGATGACTATCCATGCCGTAATACCACATATACCACGACACCTTTGCAAACAAACATATTTTGCAAAATGTGCCCATTCTAGAGTGGTGTGCATGAAAAACAAAGATTATTTTTGTAATTAAAAAAAAAAAAAAAAACACATTTTGTCTACACATGCTGAAATTAAAAATTAATTTTACACATTATATTCTAAACTCCAACCCATATTTTTGCTAATCACTTGACAGAGAAGGTGTGACACGGTGCATAGTGACAATAAAATAACGTTATAAGGGCATAATTCCCATATAAAGTAAAAAATAATATTCCGGCATTTAGGATGTACTTTTGCATGACTAAGGCCTATGGGCTGAAACGTCACCATTTTTATATCCTAGCACATGATTTGTCACAAAGAAGTTATCCAATACCACTATCAGAATATTTCATCTGACCTAAATGTATTCTGGTTATGAAATACAAAAAATACAGAGGATTCAGGTGTTCATATTGTTTCCAAAATAAATTATTAGAGGGATTTTTATTTTGTTTCTGAGAAATGCACTTTTCAAAAGCCTTGTTCTTCTATTTGAGAAAACAATACTTTACAAATGATTTTTGTTTGGGGGAATTAAAATCATCAGAAATACAAAATTTAGAGGGTGCAAGACCACTGAAAGTACCATTATGTCCAACCATATATTTCCAAGGTCATTTGTTTTAAAAGGTTAGGTTTGCACCAAACATTTTAACTCTACAGAATTACTCGCCATACTCTGTGTCTGTCATCCCTATTTTTTTTTTTTTTTTTAATAAAGTCATTATTGTGCACCTTACCATTGCATTATTAAAACATAATGGAGGATAATGGAGGATTTATAAAAGGTGACACTATCCCAAATGTAGGACGAGTTCCTAAGGTGGCACATTTGCCCTGGAAACCAATGGTAACAGCAGAAACAGTAAGTTCTGCAATACTTTTAGAACTCTGTCCAAATATTCTATTTGCAATACTTTTAGAACTCTGTCCAAATATTCTATTTGCAAGACTTTTTAGAAATCCCCAACAATGAATAGTCTATTTTACTCGGTACAGAAAAGGGCAATAAAATGGACCTGTCTCCGATATTGTTGTATGCTGCATGTATGCTCTTTATGCCAATAATACTGAATTGCATAAAACCCTAATTGTTGTTGTACAATAACTTCTCAACACGCATGGATATACTTCTGTGCAAAAGTCACAAGTCATAAGGCAAATCTTGAAAAAGGACACGTGCACAACATACACAGAAACGTGGTCTGAGATTCTAAATGAACAATGCCATCTGTGCAATTCACACATCTTGCATAACACTTGCAGTCTTTTAGAAACACAAGCTTTCGGAGTTACTGTGTGTGGGGCTGTTTGGTTAAATTGGACTCATGATAGCTGAATGTTGTATTGGAGTCTGACATTGTGCTTATCTTAGTGAGAATCTTTCTTCTATGTCAGCTCACTACAACTTAAAGGCTATACTTTGCTAAGGACTTTTAGAACAGCCCATTTATGGTTTTGATTACCTACAAAATGACCACAACAGGTCAGCTTTCACTTTATTCTTAGTGTACACTTTAAACATGCTGCATCTGCAAACTTCAAACAGACACGTAACAGGTTGCTACCATTTGCAGATTAGCATCCAAGCACAAAACACTTACCTTGTTCTTATTGACACTTTTGATGGTAAATATTTTCTCAGATAAAATCCAGCTCAGGAGTTCTATTGATTTCTTATCCCAGCCTGTTTTCCTCTGGATGATATCTCGAAGGCAGGGCAAACCATTTGTGTCAGCAATCTAAAAAAAAAATATCAATATTTAGCAACAAAAGAACGGTCTAGAATTCATCATTACTAAAAATAACATCACAGCTCTGAAATGCTGGATTTCCAGTGGAGGTAAGACAGAGCTGCTTTAATTACCCACACAATATAATTTAATTATTATTAATTATTTATATATATATAGCGCCATCAGATTCCATAGCGCTGTACAATTTTATACATTTAAGTACCCTGAATATATAGGTTTCTCAATTTATTTTGGCAAACACACGGCTCAAATGGAGCCATGAAGAAAGCAGCTCAAAATGTTTTAAATTATAAAAATTGTTTCAGTTCACTGTTTTATAGAAAATGTATAGGAAGAGCAGTCTAGGAAGTAAAATATTGTTTAATTTACTGTTTACATTTTTCTATATTGCTACAGAACTGTGCAACAAGAACTTTTTTTGGATTTCAGGGAATCCCATAGCTGTAGCACATTGCAGTGGTTATTGTGTCAGACGTACCCTGGCACCATCAGTGTAAGAAGTCAAACCATTTGTTAATAGCTTGACTATTTATCTGGGATTTTCCTAGCACGACTCCCAACTCCCTCACAGATGGAAGTGAGATTGATAAGCTCTCCTTAGTTAAGCTCGGCAAGGCCTGGCTTCCTCTTGCCCACCCAGTTTTACTCTTAGCTTATAGAATGCTTTTACAGCTGCTTGAGATCTCACTCAGTTACCTCCTCATCATCATCATCTTCACAACTAACCAGTGGCTGCAATTGTATAGTGCTGTGGACTATGTTGGAGTATAAATGCCAGAGATGATAACATGGCCAGCTCATTGGCTAAGAGCATCAGCTGATGTATTTCAGCCTATGAGCTAAGCCATCAGATGTGTGAGTGTCTGGCTGCGGAGAGCAGTGCCCAGGTAAGAAGCAAATAGTGGTTATGGTGCTTGGAATGTTAATTTAACGCTATGTTTGAAATTGACGAATTCAAATGTTTACATACCAAAGCGTCAAAATCCTTGAGCTGGTCTATGGTGTAGAAGGGAGGAAATGGTCTGAGCACAGAGTCTCTTTTGTAGCTCTTCAAAGCAGAGGCAAAAAGACTGCATTTTAAATCAGCAGCCAGAGGATCCCTTGTAACGATGTGTTCCACCATTTCTTTACAAAGTTCACTGGTTGACCTGCAAATAATAATAAAAAAAGTCAAACATTACACATTCCTACCCATTAAATGTCATATTCTTTGTTCTGTCAATCTAAAGGACCAAAAAGGAAAAAAAATATATAGGACTTGACCAGTGTCTACTATATTATTGATGCCAGGGAAGTTAGAAGCAATAGTTCAGGAATATTCAGGTATAGGAGAACTTCAATTCCCTGTATAACAGGGCCATTATCAAGCTGGACTTAATCTGCTGAGCATAGACATAATATGATGGCCATACATTACATAGGAGTAGGATTGGTTTGGACTGTTTCCAAGCACTGTTTGATTTAAATAAACTATTAATTTCAATCAGTTCTATTATAACATAAAGAATGTAATGTAAAATGCATTAATTATATTGGAAAAAGCTTATACGCTGGTACAGCAAATACATAAAAAGGCTAACAGAATAGTAGATAAAATTGTAGAGGGTATCCACGGTTTCTGACAAAATGGTTGCCAGTACCTTTTGCTGCATGAGTGGAAATAAACCAACTTACAGTTTAGTAGATTATGCCCTTAACTGAAACACCACTACACATGGGTCTAGATCCTTATGAAGTCCTTTATTATCAGGCACAATGAAATTAAATATTTTTTGTTAGGTTAAAAAGGAGTAAGTTCTCATGGGCAGCCTGCTGCTGGACATCAAATGCTGAGGAGATCAGTAGTTCTAACAAAATGTTCTGGTCTTCCCCACATGTCACAAGATGATATTATGTTGAAGATATTCATCCATGTATAAAACTCAATTGTATATGAGCCCCTTTATGATTGTGTATGTAAAATAACAGTACAGCACGTCATAAGTATGGTACCCCAAACATTCTATGAGTTACATTTGTACAATTTGATAATTATTATATATTTTTTTTTTTATATGCAGCTATGTTTTATTGACTTATCAGTGATCTTTGGTACTGTGGTTATATGTCCTATGTTGGAATGAACTGCATTTAGCACATTTTTGACTATTTAGACTCAGTATATCATGTTAACATGTAAGTATCTTTAACTTGCCCGTTAATCATTTGGCCACGTGCGGCCTGCATTAGCATGCATTTTAAAATGGGATATGCTTGTTGGCTGAGGGATCATTCCGTACACTGGCCATCATATGTGCCTCGATGTCACGGGTTCCGTCAGGATGCACAATTACATGACATGCCAAGCCAGAAAGTGAGCACACGATTATGGCCAATATCCAAGGGTCCATCCCATTTAATTGTAGCATTACCTATGTAACAGGTAGAAATAAGACTGGCAGTGTAGAGCCATATTGAGGAAGGCAACAAGCCAAAACATTAGGGCTGTGGTCTGCACTCTCTTGGCCAGTGTATCTAAGGTAATATTGGTGGGTTTAGGTTTTATACTCCATTTGCTTTGTTTGCACATGCATCTATATTGTATATCTGAATATGCTTTTGCTTAATATGGTGTTAGCACACTTATGCTATGCAATTTTAAAAAGTGTTAAAACTATTGCTATTTTTGTATCAATAACTATTTTTGTTTAAAGGGATACTATAGTGCCAGTAATACAAACTTGTATTTCTGGCAATATCGCTCCTCCTGCTACCAAACTCCCTCGCGCCCCCTACCCAGGTAAACAAAGGGTTACAAACCCTTTACTTACCTGATCCCAGCACCAATGTCCCTCTGCGCTGGGCCAACACTCCACCCCCTCCGATGTCGATGCTAATGCACATGCGCGGTAAATGCCACGCGCACATTGGTCCTCCCCATAGGAACGCGCTGAATCAATGCTTTTCTATGGGGAAAAGTCTGACACTGGGTGTTCTCATGTAGAGGGTTGGGACGTCCAGCATCAGATACCGGACCGAAGGTCCGTTTCAATCCAGGAAGCCCTCTCTGGAACTACAATGGTTAACATTGCATCACTATGTGTAAAAGGGACACTCCACCCAGACCACTTTGATGAGCTGAAGTAGTCTGGGTGCCTACAGTGTCCCTTTAATGACATTGGTGTGCAATGGTTTGATGTTTATTATGTATTTGCTATCCTAAATAGGACATGGGAATTTAGCACCCAAGAGAATTTATCTGCGTTTAGTATTAAACCCCTGAAGCGCTACCTACACCAATTACTTTTACAGTTCTAAGATGGAGTCAGAAGAACCTTGTGACAATACAAGATGGAGGAGCCAGAATGAAAAGGACAAATACTAAAATCAAACATGAGATGAACTCACGGTCTAGGGAAAATGATTTATAACAAGAAGCAGAAATAAAAGGAAATGTCTGAACAGGACACAATGCTCTGTTTGCACAAAGTAAGTTACACATCAGTTCTCCTGTGTAACTTGGTGAACAATGGCAGATAGGAATATCTTATGAAAATACCAACTGCCAGTGAAAAAAAGCTTATCAGCAAAATACATATATTGTGATAAAGAACTCCAGGGAACTGTGTCCAGACATCATCATGAAAACTGTGTCGGTGCAGAAAGAAAAATAATATTGAAAGATGAGGAAGCAGCTTCAGCTGAAAGGAACACTATAGTCACCTAAATTACTTTAGCTAAATAAAGCAGTTTTAGTGTGTAGATCATTCCCCTGCAACTTCACTGCTCAATTCACTGTCATTTAGGAGTTAAATCACTTTGTTTCTGTTAAAGGACCACTATAGTGCCAGGAAAACATACTCGTTTTCCTGGCACTATAGTGCCCTGAGGTTGCCCCAACCCTCAGGGACCCTCTCCCGCCCGGCTCTGGAAAGGGGAAAGGGGTAATAACTTACCTTTTTCCAGCGCTGGGCGGAGAGCTCTCCTCCTCCTCTCCGCCTCCGTTACGCCCCGCGGCTGAATGCGCAGCGGGCGCCGATTTCATTATGCTTTCATTTACGCTGATGCTCTCACTGTGAAAATCACAGTGAGAAGCACGCAAGCGCCTCTAGTGGCTGTCAATGAGACAGCCACTAGAGGATTAGGGGGAAGGCTTAACCCATTCATAATTATAGCAGTTTCTCTGAAACTGCTATAATTATGAAAAAATGGGTTAACCCTAGAAGGACCTGGCACCCAGACCACTTCATTAAGCTGAAGTGGTCTGGGTGCCTAGAGTGGTCCTTTAATGCAGCCCTAGCCACACCTCTCCTGGCTACGATTGACAGAGCCTGCATGAAAAAAAAAACTGCTTTCACTTTCAAACAGATGTAATTTACCTTAAATAATAATTGTATCTCAGTCTCTAAATTGAACTTTAATAACATACAGGAGGCTCTTGCAGGGTCTATCACGCTATTAACATAGCAGGGGATAAGAAAATTTTAATTAAACAGAACTTGCAATAAAGAAAGCCTAAATAGGGCTCTCTTTACAGGAAGTGTTTATGGAAGGCTGTGCAAGTCACATGCAGGGAGGTGTGACTAGGGTTCATAAACAAAGGGATTTAAAGGACCACTATAGTGCCAGAAAAACATACTCGTTTTCCTGGCACTATAGTGCCCTGAGGGTGCCCACACCTTCAGTTTCCCCCTCCCGCCCGGCTCTGGAAGGAGGAAAGGGGGAAAAACTTACCTTTTTCCAGCGCTGGGCGGGGAGCTCTCCTCCTCCGATCCTCCTCTTCTCCTCCCATGCGGCTGGCTGCGCGCACATTCAGCCGATCAGATAGGAAAGCATTATCAATGCTTTCCTATGGACGCTTGCGTGCTCTCACTGTGATTTTCACAGTGAGAAGCACGCAAGCGCCTCTAGCGGCTGTCAATGAGACAGCCGCTAGAGGAATTGGGGGAAGGCTTAACCCGTTCATAAACATAGCAGTTTCTCTGAAACTGCTATATTTATAAAATAATGAGTTAAGCCTAGCTGGACCTGGCACCCAGACCACTTCATTAAGCTGAAGTGGTCTGGGTGCCTAGAGCGGTCCTTTAACTCCTAAATGGCAGAGGATTGAGCAGTGAGGCTGCAGGGGCATGTTCTATACACCAAAGCTGCTTCATTAAGCTAAAGTTGTTCAGGTGACTATAGTGTCCCTTTAATGCCACAGTTATGAGCATCATGCACCCTAAATAAATGAGGAAGGAATGTGTGCTCAAAAATACAGACTAATGTCTTCCAAATGTTAAATTCACAGGTAGAGCAAGTACCTATCAATTGTTCAGCCTTAGTTAGCCTTTCTTACACGGAGCCTACTCTCCTGTAGCCAGATGCTCCGGCTCTCAGATGACAGGAGTGGTGGGCTTTGGGGACAAAGGGAGCATAGTCCTATCCCACGCTGGGACCTCAGGGAGGGGGAGGATCTTGGGACGTGTCCTTGCATGTTTGTGTGGTAAATCCCTTGCACACGGTTATGCATAAAAGCCATGTGTGGCCAATAAAATTGTGTTGTACTTCCAGGACTGTGTGTCGTCCAGTTACGGGAGGTGGGGATGAAAATGTGTCTCCTTATGCCCTAACTGGTTCCCGGCCGGTTGATGGAAGGAAATTAGCGGAGGTAACCAGTTGTCAGTTCTTTTATTTCTGTACCAAACCATGCACTGATATAAAATAAAATTAAAAAAAAAAAAACAACATTTGGAATTTGGCACTGAGAACATTTCCTGTATTGGCTTGGTAAATCCCTCCTTGGCATTTATGGTGCTATTTGTTCAGTTTGCACATATTTTTAGGAAATCAAACAGATTTCACACCAGGATAGCGCACTGGTTAGGTTCCATGGCAGACTGAGCTTGGCTAAGTAGGAATTCAGAAGCATACAAATCCAAGTATCAGGAGTTTAGCAAAACATATTGTCACATATAAAGCACAAACTTCTTGTGAGACAATATATATTACAAATATAAACAACAAACGTTTTGACACTCTCGTATACGGTTTATGACTGTGACTTTAAAAGACGTGTCAGTACTCCTTGTTTATATAACAGTTCATAACCTTTATATACAATCTATATTTTAATGTAAGTTGCTGAATATTAATATTTAGTGTATAACTAGAGAAATTCACTTGCCTAAACAACTCGCCAAACACACAAAAAAATATATACAAGTGTACCCTATTCCACCATAATAATACTGTATATATTGACTTACACATGTATAGCAATGCACATTTCTATCATAATATCTGTACTTTTCAGTTCAATTTTACTGGTATATTTATATTTAGAGTGTTACCAATTGCCAAAAGAAAGGGTAAAACTCACAGTAAAGGTATATCTCTGCAGTAAATTACCTAACACCAAAAATAGTGTTTGGTCAGTAAATGCTGTGAATGTTACTGTATTCTGAAAATTAACCCATAATTGTAAAGTTATTGTGTAATTAATTTGAATTATTTCTAACTCCCCTGATAATATCTGATACCCCATGGTGTGAGTCCCTTCCCTTATTAATAACTTCTCCTTAGTTCCTGTCTGATGGTACTCCTACCCCTTCCTCTGCTGAACAGTACCACTATGCCCCCCTGCCCTGATAGCCACTGTCTCTCTTACCTGTCAGTAGTCACTTCTTACTATGGCCATTGGCACATCCGTATAGCGACGTGTCCTCCTGAGGCCCCCTATGTGAGCTGCCCTCTGCATTGCCAGAAGAAGTCTATTAGAGGAGACATAGAAGCTGCAGGCAAGAACGAGTGACAAACACCCGAGTCGTGTGAAACCTCAGCGTTCTCTTAGCTTCAGTGCGTGGCACTCCCTGGAGGCATAGGGCTGCAAAGCATGCAGGGAGTTGTAGTTCAGCCTGGTCTGCCAGGGTATTGCTAGGTTTTGATTGTATTGTATGATATGTTATAAAGTATAAACAGAATACAAGTTCTGGCTTACCTTTTGACACCATTAATGCCACTGCAGCAAGATTGTAGGCAAAGAGTAACAATAGTATAACTATTACTGCGATTAATATACCCCATGCTGTTAATCAGCATTTAGGAGCTGGGCTGTTAGCTTGCACTGACAGTCATTAGTGACAAATAAAATGTAAATATATAGCCAATAAGAAGATAAGAAATAGAAAATTACAAAATGTAAATGTTTATTTGTAATACTGATAATACATTATGTCCCTAAAGAGGAGCTGTCAAGTCCAGAGAAGTGACAGTTTCTTGTTCACTCATACCAGCATAAAGCTATTTCACAATTTACTGGGGTAAATAAGGTTTACTAAACTTACCAAACCTGCAAGTCTGGGTAACTTCGACGCCCCATGAAGCATCAGCAGCCAGAGAAATACCTTACAAGTGCATTCGCAACTGTATACTTGCATGGGGTTAACTAAATTACATGTTTTGCTCAGTGTTGCCCCAACAAAGCATGTAAAATAAAATAATGTATCAAGACTATAAAAAAACCACAAAAAAAACACGTTTTAATTAGCTGTCTGGTTGTGCTAAAATTTGGGAAGTGCCCGTTTATCGTTAAAGCAGAACTGTCACTTATGGTATCATTGCAAACTATGTATCTGTACCTGATGTATACGTCTATCTTCTCCCATTGTACAGTGCTACGGAATTTGCCTACGCTATATAAATAATAAAATAATAATCTTCTATGCATATGCGTTCGTCTGTCTGCTTATGTATGTAAATTTGTTGGTGTGTGTATGTGGAACTAACTCGGTATGTTTCAGTTTGTGTATTTAAGTGCTTGGGAGTAGGCCCATGTAGGTGTCTTAATTCTCCTATTAATGTTTTACAACACACGAAAGCCATATTATGCTTATCACTTTCTTTCATTCCTATTAGCGGCAAAGCGGGAAAAAGAGAACAGTACATGTGATAAAAATCCAATGTTGGTATATTATAATAGAAGATAACTAAATTATGAAATGTAATACTCACAATTCCAGTAGAGTGTTCCAATATGAAAGAGAAAAGGAAAATAACTAAATATTCTCAAGTCGATAGCTTCCTCCAGGGTGAAAGGGGTGTGGTTTCGAGTATAATAATACAGCACAGTATGGTGTATATAGATAATAAGCTTGTAATCTCATATATCCACTCACATTTTATTTAGCTAACTTAGAGCTCTGCTGTTTTGTGCATGGACAAAATAATCCCCATCTAAGGATATGTAAATACAGAAAAAAACTCAGTTGGTGAAGTAAATACTGGTGGAAAATCAAATGAAGATAAGATAATCAAGGTAATGGTTGCTCTTAACTTGCTCTAGTGCAAACAGCGAAGGTGGTATAATCCCCACCTAAGGATATGATGGGTCCAGGAAGCAGTAGGTAAGTAAATAAAAAGGTATATCTATAAAAGTTAACTTTTTATTTAAACAAAACAAAATATAAAATATAAAACGATAAAACAGTAATAAAATACTTTCAGTAGTCCCACTTGACGCGTTTCGCCTCTCCAAGGCTTCTTCAGAAGTGTGGTGAGTAATTGTAAAGTTCCAGTTTGTATATGTGAATCTTTATTGAAGATAGCTTCCTGGTGAATGTAATTGCCGGCTTACTGTTACCATGCTGGAAGTGACGCGGCGATCATCCATCATTGGTAGTCTCAGTGGACTTAGCGTGTTTAAGTCTGGAACACATACGTCACCAAAATGGCATTGTTGCGTTCCAATCGCTAATAGTTAAAGTCCTTCACATAATAGGGTCCGGAGGTGTAAATGCTGCATTCCTTCAATAAGTCCCACCTCTTAGAAAATGACCCGATATCCGTATTGGTCACAGAGAGGGCGTGGTGTCACAAAGGAAGTGACGTGATGCAAGAGCCTCCATACATAGCTCGTACCTGAAAAGTGGAAATGGCTTAGCGGCAGGGCCGGGCTGGGAACAGAAAGCAGTCCTAGAAAAAAATTATTCCAGCCTTATATTTCACCATGTCACATAGTGTATGTTTTATATCGAAATGCTTTGGAAGCTGTTATATTGTTTCTTACCTGCAGCCTCTTACTCCAGATGATCCATGGGTATTACAGTACTGTAATGCCCACCATCCAGTCTGACACACACAAGGTCACTACAGACAAGCTCACTGACACACACAAGTTCTCTTACCCAAACACAAGTTCACTCAGACAAGCTCACCGACACACACAAGTTCTCTTACCCAAACACAAGCTCGCTACAGACAAGCTTACTGATACACACAAGTTCACTAGAGACAAGCTTACTGACACACAAGCTCACTCAAGTCAAGATCACTGATACACATTAGAGGTCACTACAGAAAAGATCAATGACACAATCACAAGCTCACTACAGACAAGCTCAATGACACACACACAAGCACGCTACAGACATACTCACTACAGACAAGCTTACTGACACACACAGAAGTTCTGACACACACAAGCTCACTGCAGACAAGCTCAATGGCACACACAAGCTCATAACAAGCTCACCAACAAACACAAGCTCACCGACACACACAGAAGCTCTCTGGCCCATACACAAGCTCACTAAAGACATGCTCACTACAAGTTCACTGACAATCACAAGCTCACTACAGACAAACTTACTTCAAGCTCACTACAACCATGCCTACTACAAGGTCACTAAAACACACAAGCACAATACAGACAAACTCACAAGCTCACTGACAAACACAAGCCCACTACAAGCTCCCTGACATACACAAGCTCACTGCCACACACTCAAGCACAGTACAGACATGCTCACTGCCACACACACAGGCTCACTACAGACAAACTCACTACATGCTCACTGAAACACACAAAAGTTCACTATAGACAAGCTCTCTGACACACACAAGCACAATAAAGACAAGCTCACTGACACACACAAGCTCACTATAAGCTCTCTGACACACATTCAAGCACAGTACAGACATGCTCACTACAGATAAACTCACTAAAAGCTCACTGACACACACACAAGCCCACTGACATACACAATGTCACTGGAACACACTCAAGCATAGTACAGACATGCTCACTACAAGCTCACTGACACATACACACACACAGGCTCACTACAAACTCACTAACACACACAAACACTCACTGACACACACTCAAGCACAGTACAGATATGCTCACTACAAGCTCTCTCTCACACACACACAACCTCACTACAAACACACTGACACACACACATTATCAATCATGGGCTGCTTAGTGGATATATAAGTACCTGCAACGTCACTGTAACTGGACTTCAAGTGAAATATGAGTTTTTTCATGACGCTCTTCATGCTCAGCAGCCATATTAAAAAAGGGCAGGAATTAGATAAATTTAAAAGGTAATAAGCAAATTGGGTAGGTATATGGAGTATAGATAGCGCATATCTCATGAGGATAGGCAGCCTAAATTCAGCAAATGAGTTGGAAAAAAACAATAGGTATCATGCCCTGTCCTTTTGCGAACCATTTGACGAAACCTTTTTTTTTTTTTTAGAGATTCTATCAAATCGGGAAAGACATACAGACCATCTAAATATAACACCTACAAACTTCGCAAAAGAGACGTAGAGGAAGTAGATCAGGCAAAAAAGAGCAAAAAAGTAAGGCTATGGGCGATGTACCTACAGGTATTCTTAATTTATCACATAAAACTCTAAATGAAATCCAAATAAATGTCTTGAAACAAGGTTTAAAATTTGCTCCTACAAAACCTTATAACTCTTTTCTTACATACATAGATATTAATAAGTTCGTAAGGAATGCTACCTTGAAATGATTTTATATTAATAAGAACAATAACACACAAGAAAATGCTGATAGGGGCAATGATAACAACAACGAGAAAGACTATGAAAAAAAGTATTTTAAGAAAAAAATCTATCCAGCCCACTGTAAATCTAGTGCCCTAGAAATATTTGAAAAAAAGGTCAGTAAAAATCTTAAAATCCAAGAAGGTAAAACGGGACAAATCAAACATGAATAGAAAGGAAAGACTAATATTAAAAGATCTGTATAATGATGCATCAATAATAATCAAACCCTCTGACAAAGGCGGAGGCCTTGTCATATTGTCCAAAGAAAAGTCAAAATACATATATTAGACTGGCCAACAATCCAACTTTGGATAGTAAAGTTAAATTGAGAGACTTTTTGGACAGGGGAAAAGGTACTGGGATCCTGGATTCAAATGAATTTAACTATATCAATGTCCTGCATCCTAGGACCCCTGTTATCTACTTCCTGCCCAAAATCCATAAAAACTTAGAAAGACCCCCTGGACGATCTATCGTCTCTGGTATCTGTTCACTTCTTTCTAATTTATCCGAAGATATAGACATCATGTTACAACCATATATCATAAAAGCTAAATCATATCTTAAAGACACTATGGATTTGTTAAATAAACTGGAAAACAATTGCTTGGGAAGAAAACTTTATACTAATCACCTGTACACCATAATTCAACACGACAAGGGCTGTCAGGCAGTTAGGTCAATATTAGAAAAAGACTGCTCCATGATTCAGGATTTTTTAATTGAAGGTATAGATATGATTTTTTTTAAAATAATTATTTTTGGTTTAAGGACAGTTTTTATTTACAGAAAATGGGAACACCTATGGGTACCAGGTTTGCACCCAGCTATGCTAACCTCTACATGGCAGAATGGGTGGAACAATCTATTTGGAGGGGGCATGGCTGGGTGGAAAGCCTGGTATCCTATTCCAGGTCTACAGATGACCTTCTATTTATTTGCAGGGGATCTATTTTATCAGCACAAGATTTTATAGCTTTTTTAAACTCTAATAATGAAGGAATAGTTTTTAACTGCAGATTTTAGTGACAATGAGGTTACCTATCTTGACTTGAACATCTACATTAAGGATAACAAAATACATACTAAAACACATTTTAAAGATGTGCACATAAATAATTATATAGAT